GTATTTTGCTTTCAGTTGTGCAGCACACAGTAGAAATCTTGTATACTTTCTTTGTTAAGTGATGGAAGAGTCCTTTAGGCAGTATTCAAATAGCATTGAGAAGCCTGAAAGCCTGATCATATTTTATCAGACAAAGTGCTGTAGTACTGCTGGGAGAAGAAAGATGAATGAAAAAGATTCTATAAATAGCCATTATCTTCTATGAATAAAGCACAATAAGGTTGAAAATTACAAAATAATAACTGTGAATATAACTAGCTACAAAGGCAAGTGCATATTAAGATAATATTCTGCATACCATGTGTTTTGGTAGAATCTGAGAGATAAGGCTGCAACATGTTATGGTGACATTTAAGTATCTATGTCACAGGTTACCCACTTTTGTATTATTCTGTGTGACTAATATATTCATTCACCTTTCAGATTTTCAGATTCATGTTTTGTATGCCATAAATATGCAGTTAAACCCAGAGCATATTAAGAAAGCTATATGTGAGACCATGTCACTTTGACTAGACCTGTGTGAAGGCAGGAAGTGTGTGCAAGTGTAAAATGTTTGTGAGATGGTCTCATCCTTTCTGGAGTTGCTTCAAATCACTGGTTATCAGGCCCTTCTTTAGGTTATTTTGGTCAGCGGTTTGCCATCTTCCAGTGAATTTTTTTCTTGATTTAAAACATAGTTTCCTTGCCCTGAGTTCATTTTTTTTTCTTGCTGAACCACTAAAACAGTTTACCATAAAATTTAAAAAACTGCCTTAGAGTTTTGCTATCATTTTTTGTTTAAATAAAATCACTTGCTTCGTTATGAAACTGTGAAACGTGGATATATCACTCAGATTTTAACTTCCTCCATCTCTGTTAATGTTTCAGAGAAGTGAAAATCTAGTCAGCAAGGTGTCATCCACCATCTGTGAATAATGGCATGATAGATGGCAATTGAAACTATACCCTGGGGATCCGTGTATGAGGGACAGTATTATATCTACAAGAGGAAAACTTTTATTT